TATATATATATATATATAATTTTTAAAGACACAAAAGAAATTTAAAACTAAACATCTTAGCAGGTGACTGGATGAATGAAAGGATAAAAACCACAACATTCTAATAAACTATAATACATTTGGTTGTCAGCTTTCCAGTGAAGGACTACAGTTACCATTTACTAATACATCAAATATGTTCTAAAAGAGGAAATTCAACTAAGCCTTTTAAATTAGAAGCCATTCCCATATTTACCTTTTCTTCCAGCTGTTCCTTCAAACACTGATACTTTAGCTTCAGTTTTTTGTTCTCCTCCTCATTCTGGGCTAATTCTTGTGTCAGCCTATCACACTGTGATTTCAACTTCTCCAGCTGCCAACCATGGACTTTAGCTGTATTCTTATCTTCTAAGCTTTCTGCCTGAGAGAAAGAGAGGAGACAAAAGAAAGTCCACTGGCCACAGCCAATTTATAAAACAGACAAATTATACATTGTATCAATGGGAAAATACTTCAATATTTTGCTTTCTCTAAATATTTATATATAAAGATGCACAAAGGAAATGTTCTTTGCATTTATTTAACCATTCAACAGCATTTATGGAGCATTAACTAAGTGGTGTGGTGCCTAAGGCATTTGACTGCTAACCAGAAGGCTGATGGTTCAAACCCACCACCTGCTCCTTGGAAGGAAGATGGGGCAATCTACTTCCATAGTGATACCACCTCAGAAACTCAAGGAAGGGTGGCTATGGGTCAGATCTGACTCCACAGCAGTGAGTTTGGTTTGTTTATTTTATAACTAAGTGATAGTTACTGTACTAGGTACTGAACATGCAACAATCAATTTGTACAATGATGAACGATAAGTGCTTAAGAAAGATGTAAGTGGGTATTTTGGCAACCCAAAGAAGGGACACCAATTTGGCTTGAGTAGAAGGGTGCTATTAAAGAAAAAATTCACTGCCGCTGACTCGATTTGACTCATAGCAACCCCTCCTTGGGTTTCCGAGGTGGTATCTCTACAGAAGCAGATTGCCCAATCTACCTTCTGAGGAGTGGCTGGTGGATTTGAACCGCTAGCCTTCTGGTTAGCAGTAAAATGCCTTGGGCACCATGCCACCAGAGCTCCCTATGCGATGATAGTGCTGAGTGATTAATTTTCTCATCTGTAAGATGAGCTTAACAATAGCCCTGTCTTACCTACCTCCAAGTTGTTATGAAAGAATCGTGTATTTTTTGGTTAACATAATTAATTACACCATTCTTGTGGGTCTAAAAGGATTATGAATTGTAGCAGCCAAGAAATTACAAATAATTTAATATGAAAAAGAGCTTAACTGTGATTATTTCAGCATCAATAGTCTAATCAAGTATCTGTTCTTTTTATCTTGATTTGCAATATAAATATAATGAGAACCAGCTTAAAAACATATATATTCTGTACATGGAATCCAAGAATGATTTACCAGGTATAAGAAGTTACAGAATTTCAAAACATCATTAACAAGGTAAACATTATGGTAGGCACTGTTTTAAGGCCTTCTTGAATATAGTTTTTCCTGATTTCATCCTCACAACCACCTGACAAGGTACGTACTATTATTATCTCCCTCTTTGACACTGAAGCACAGAGAAGATAAAAATCTGTGCAAGCACATAAGGATTTGACAGGATTTGAACCTAGAAACCTGGCTCAAAGGTCTATGCTTTCAATTACTCTACTACACTGATTCTCAAAAGGCACATGTATCATAAGGTTTTAAAAACCAGCTGGGTGCAACCTGCAATGTTAATTGCAATTATGTATATAGCCTGTTTAAGATACATGTTTTCATGCCTAAAATATATCTGTACATTTATTTTATTTTATAAATTTATTCTATCTATTTAATCAGTTAAGTAGGAATACAATCATTGGAAGTAATCTCCTGAAATGAAGAAGTTTTGTGAGTTTAGGCAAAACTCTGTATTTTATTTACCCCACAAAAGTCACCTAAGACTTGTTGTCACTTCAAATTAACAAAGGAATTGATTTTTCTATGAACAATCCTGTAATTACAACCCAAAAATAAAGTCACAAAATGAAGTATCTCATCAGGAAAATTGCTTGATTACAATTTTAAGTTTCAGTAGAACGCTTTGACTTTTCTCTATGTCCATTAGAAAGCTCATGTATATAAGGTAAGTTTCCTCCTATGGTCAGCAGTGTGCGGGGCTAGCTCAAGAGACTGGCAAGAGCCAACTGTGCTCACCTCTTCCCATCTCCAACCCAGTGCAATGATGTCTCATTGACAGCATGAAATCAGCCAAGACAGGATTATTTACACCACTGAGGGCAGCAAATGTTACCAAGTACGGTTTCCCCCTAAAGAGCCAGTTATTAAATATTTACCAGCATTTGGAGGCCTAAGGAGCTCTGGTGGCACAGTCCCTAAGGCATTTGACTGCTAAACAGAAGGCTGGCGGTTCAACCCACCAGCCACTCCTTGGAAGGAAGTATCTCTACTTCCATAGAGATTCCACCTCGGAAACCCAAGGAGGGGTCACTACGCGTCGAATGGAACCGACAGCAGTTGAGTTTGTTTGTTTTGTTTGTGGATGCCTATTTGAGTAAGAGCTTACTATGGTTGTGGTTTTTATTATACATGTCACTTTAGGATTTCACAAAGCAATGTCACTCTCACAACACTGTGGTACGACAACACTACTACTCTCAGAATCAAGGATGGTGAGGCATCCTCTTACATACTGTGCACATGTTAACAAGGGAACAGTCCCTGGAGAAGCACATCATGCATGGGAAAGAAGAGGATCAGGGAAAAAGAAGATGACCCTTAATGAGATGGATTGACCCTGTGACTGCAACAATGAACTCCAACATAATAATCGTAAGAATGGCACAGGGCCAGGCAGTGTTCTGTTCTTTGTATGTAGGGGCGATATGAGTCAGAACTGACTCGACAGCACCCGACAACAACAACAACGAGGTTTTATTGATGAGGTGCAAACAAGGTTTAGTTACTTGTCTAAGATCACATGGCCAGCAGGAAAGGACAGAACTCCATCCACGGGTCTTTTGATTCCAAACAAAAGATGCTACAAAATGATTTTGTTGAAAATATAAAGAGGTAATAAATAACCAAATATTCTGTAAATATTAGTAGCAGCTAGGGTATTTCATTGAAATATTTTAAATTCAATTTTAAATGTAAGTATAAAAAGGGAACTTCCAGATGGGGTAGAAATACAGCTACTCTGTCCAGAGGAAAAAAATATATGCCAACATAGCAGAGCTTAGACTCAGAAAAACTGTAATAAATCAAAGAACAGTTGAAAGACACAGAAATATTTATAGAGCTACTTGTCCAAAGCCCTATTGTTGCACAATTCAGCATGCTAATCTCCTGTGATGATCATTGTTGTCAAATCCTTTTAATTAATATAAATTAAAAGTATAGAACAGCATGAAGAGGAGTTGTTCCTTATTGGTTACTGATTTGCTCTAAGTTCATCTGTCTGACGAGGAAACTGCTGGGCTCTCACCATCTCTGATTTTCTTTTTAGCTCTCATGCTGCTTCTATGTCACACTGAAGAACATGTGCAACACCCCTCATGAATCTCAGTTTTCTAAATATAAAAAAAGGAATAATCTAAACCTATCAGAAGATCAATACAATACTTATAGATTATAATTCTTTAAACACAGGTAATTTCTTGAATCTTTCTTGTTATCTCACTGTAAATGAGTTGGATCCAACTCATAGCAACCCCTCCTTCAGTTCCTGAGGTGGTATCACTACAGAAGTAGATTGCCCGATATTCCTTCCAAGGAGTGGCTGGTGGGTTTGAACCACCAACCTTCTGGTTAGCAGTCAAATGCCTTAGGAACTATGCCACCAGAGCTCCTTAAAAAAAGAAGGACAATAAATTTCCCCTTATTAGAGAAATCCAAAGCAGAGAGATAACAGAAAAAGTCAGGAACAAATCCTCTGATTTCCAGCTCTTCCAACATTGCAACCCAACATGTTAGCTTGTTGTCAGGTGCCGTCGAGTCATCTCCAATGCATAGCGACCCCATGCACAGCAGAACGAAACACCGTCTGATCCCATGGCAGCTCCATGATCCTTGCTATACTTGAGTCCATCACCGCTGCCACCATCTCAATCCATCTTGTTGAGGGCCTTCCCCTCTTTCATCGGCCCTCCACCTTACCAAGCATGACATCCTTCTCCAGGGAATGGTCTCTTCTGACAACATGACCAAAGTATGTGAGATGAAGTTTGGCCATTCTTGCCTCCAAGGAATATTCTGGCTGCACTTCCTCCAGGACAAACCTGTTATTTCTTTTAGCAGTCCACGGTACTTTCAGCATTCTTCACCAACACCACAGCTCAAAAGCATCAATTCTTCTTTGGTCTTCCTTATTCATTGTCTCTTAGGTATCTTCTGAAAATATAGAATTCTAGACACCTTATGAGGACTAAAAGATGGCTAAGAACTGATGCCCACCATAGCATTTTCCATAGCTAATATTCTGGAAGTAGATTCATAAAAGATGTGAAAAAATTAACTGGGCCTTGATGGATCAGGCAGAATGTTCCTTCCTTCCAATTGGAGGAAAGGGCCATACAGATGAAAAACAAGTAGTAAAAACTTGGGGGGAATAGCTCTACATACATATGAGGATGTTGGGGAACCTAAAAGGCAATAAATATGGCCACCTCAAGAAGGGCTGGGCTTGAGTGGTGATTTCATTCCAAAGGCAATAAACAAGCAATGAAGGTTTTGAAGCAGTAAGTGGCACATCCAGATGTGTTTGAGGAAGGGAAATATGGTCCTATTTGAAGGTTAAAAGGGAGAAGATGGGGATGGAAAGAGGCACCAGGAAGTAGACAGGCTGGCTACTTAAGAGGCATACTTCAGTTGGCCAAATTAGAGCCTCATCTCCTTTTTTCTACTAAGCTGCATGATGTATTTCTTCACCTGCTAGTGCATCTATGAGTGAACACATGCAAGCTGCACCTCTGTAACTTTATCTACCACTCAAGAAAGTGTATCAGAACATGAGTGATTATGACATTCTCAGAGATAATCTCAAATCTGCTCTGATGGAATTATTACAAAATCCTGGTGACATATGTGTTATCACACAACATAAATAATGGTGATGTGAACCTGAAATAAGTCAGCAGTAATGAGAAGGAAAAGAAGGTGTAGTTTAAACACTTAGGAAAACCGTAAGCTCCTTAAAAAGAACCGTGCTTTATAGCATGACCAGTGCTGCTTCCAAACCATTACATGCATGTCCTCATGCAAAACCCTACCTTCCTTTGAGATCCACCATTTGCCATCAATCCCCTTCTTCCTTCTGGCAACTGCTGGCTGAACAGTCATTCTTTTCATTGAGGTTTTTTGTATATGGCCAATTAATGCTTTTGCAATGGTATTAGAAGTATTGAAATGCCCATCCAACAAGCTACCATCAAAGTTGCTGGGTATGTTCTATTCCAACTATATTCTATTCACTCACATTCCACAATAGTAATTCACTGCATGACCATATCTGGGGCCTTAACTCTAAAATTTTCACTCTAATAAAATAATTTCTGACTAATTGGAACATCCTCTGAGGGCAATGGTGGTTCAGTGGTAGAATTCTACCCTTCCATGCAAAAGACTCAGGTTTCATTCCTGGCCAACACACCTCTGCACAGCCACCAGTCATCTGTCAGTGGACGCTGTTGCATTGTTGTGATGTTCGTCGAACAGGTTTTGGCAGAACTTCCAAGTAACACAGATTAGGAAGAAAGGCCTCGTGATCTACTTCTGAGAATCAGCTAAATTAGAGCCCTATGGATCATGTAAAAGGAGCTCTGGTGGCATAGCAGGTAAGACATTTGGCTGCTAACCAGAAGGTTAGCAGTTCAAACCCAAGGCTGCTCCATGGAAGGAAGATTTACAACCTTGGAAACTCAATGGGGGTTACTGTGGGTCGGAATCAACTCAATAGCAGTGGGTTTTGGATTTGGATCACACATGGACTCTGGGATCGTCAAACTCCATTGTGTACGAGGTCACGATGAATTGGGCACTGACTCAATGGCAGCTAACAACCTCCACCACAGATTCTTATCCCTTAACTTTCTCATTCATTTACACCTATGACACATGTTCTTCAGTGGCAGCCACATGGCAACGCTTTGCATGCTCCCAAACCACAGCCTCGTGTAATCTGTACTAGGCATCGCAGCAGTTTGCATCTTTACCACTCTTAACTGCTTACAGTACTGCTGCCCTACTCTGCTTCCAAGAGATGAAAGAAACTACTAAGACTCACATCAGCTTCCACAGACCATCCCTATCAACTTACCCTTCTTACTAGTTTCTTCCAAAACCTTCACAGCAAGAGATAACTTGTCACCTGTTGAGTGTTATATACTTTTTGAGCCAAACCTCTCACACCCTTCATGGATTTTCTTAATCAAATTCTGCCAAATGCAATGAATTTTCTCAGTTCTCTTAGCGTGTCTGCTGCACTTGACACTCTTAACTATCTTCTCCTTCAAAGATCTTACGTGGATTTCCAAGGAACCATGCTCTCCAGCTTTTCCTCCTGCCCCTTGTATGATGGTTCCATATTCTTACTTACTGGAACCTCTTTCTCAATCATTCCATTAAACACTGCTATCCTGATCTTTTGTCCTCTTCTCTTTCTTCCTGGATGATCTCATCTAAACCCAATGATTTCAACTACCACCTGTGGTAGTTAAGTTTGTATATCAACTTGGCTGGGCCTGATTGAGTGGCTGGGCAACTGAATGCAGTTATTACCCATAGTCAGATTGGTAGTTAACTCCATAGTAGAATCCATTGGAGCAGCTGAATAGCTGCTTTAGGGTTGTGGTCTGCTTCTAGTATATTAGAAGCAACTTTGAGGAAGGTCTCCAGCTTATGGCACACTTGAACCCTGCATGTAGCCAAGTTGTTGTTCAATAGCCTGCCATATCCTGCCAATCTCAGGATTTATTCTGGACTTGAATTAGTGCCCTGCCACATTGTTTGGTAATATTGGGACTATGCTTTTTTACTTGTCCACCTTGGGCTTGTCAGCCTCAGCAGCCAGCAGCTGTCTGAGTGAATACAAGTTTCCAGCTTCAGTGGGCCAGGAGCAGGAGGCAGAGCTGAAACCCAAAGTTGAGGGGCTTTCTCCCAGCCCCTAGAGCCTGGCACTTTGAACTCAGACTTAAAGTCTCCAAAACTGTAAGAGAAAAAACTCCTGTTTATTCAAGCCATCTCATTTGTGGTATATTCCTGTCAGAGCAACACTAGGTAACCAAAACATCATCTATGGGTTACTAGCTCCCAAATACTTAATTCTAATTTCAACTTCTCCATCAACTCTTGATCCATTATATATTGAACAATGTTACCTGGGTTTTTCATGCTTAAGCATGTTATTGTTCCAATATACTCAATTTAAAAAAAAAAACTGGATTTGGCATTATTTTCTCCAAATCTACTCTCCTGCCTATACTTTGTAACTTGGCACATAGCCTCATTTTCCACATAATCATCTACATCATTACGTAGTCATGCTGGATTCTAAACTCTTTTCAGTATTGAAAACTAATTAAGAACAAAGGCACTCAACTACCTGGATTCAAACCCTATCTCTAGTACTCTCCAGCTATAAAACCTTGGGCAAGTTACTTAATCTTCTGTGTCTCAGTTTCCTCATCATGGAAAAAAAATACTATACAATCTGTGCAAATGATGTGAACACTAAATGAGTAACACATGTAAAGTTCTTACACCAGTGACAGACATCAAATAAGGGCTGAGAAAATGTTTCCTGGTATTATTATTGCCACAGCAATCAACAACAAATACATATTTTATTCTGTGCAAGACCAATGCCTCCATATACCTGATTTTAGTTTTGTTTACGACCTCATCAACCTTAAAGGACTATCATATTTCATCAATATTAAGATTTTTTTTTTCACACTTTACCATCCCTGGTTTGGAATGTTACCTTACAATTGATAGCACATCATGGTTCCATGTTGTTGTTATTGTTATGTGCTGTCGAGTCAGACCCGATTTACAGCAACCCCTCCTTGGGTTTCCGGGGCAGTATCTACGGAAGTAGATTGCCCCATCTTCGTTCCGAGAAGTGGCTGGTGGGTTTGAACCACCAGCCCTCTGGTTAGCAGTCATAGGAATATTTTTTCCCTTAGAAACAGACTGATGTGTGTGTTAGGTTCAATTAAACAATTAAAGGTCTATTAGATATTTTTCTGGCCTCCATTCTGCTCTGCCCTATGCACTCCAATTAATGATACCAAAGCTACTACTGACAGAAAGCTATATAGGACTGGGGAAGAATTCATGAAATAGATGAAAGAGCTCTACAAACATCAGCTATTTCAATATGATTTAACTTCAGCTTCAACCATAAACATTTTTAAGGTAGTTGCTGCTTTTCAAGCCATTTTTTTAAATTAAAATAATTAACTTCTGAAAATTAATTCATTTGTCTATTCAACAGGTATTAATAGTGTTCCAGAAGCTGTTCTAGGCACTGGGGATTGAACTGTAAATAAAACAGATTCAAATCCCAGTCCTCACAGAGCTTTCATTTTAATGGAGAAAAAAATAAATACAGAATCTGCATCATGGGATGAAAAGAGCTATGGAGAAAAAAATAAAGCTGGGAAGAGGGACAGATTTATCACACTCCTGAGATTCAGGTTATGAAGTGATTGCCCTATGTGGTAATAATGCCAATACCATTAGACCTTAGACAACTTCCCCAAATGAAAGATCTCAATTAGACCTTTACTCAGGCCATTTTGATTTGGAAAAGAAGGGTTAAACTGCAAAAGCCTTGGGTTTACACAGCCCATAAGCCGATCCACTTTAGTTACCATCCTAACAGGGACTGCGGTTAAAGTTTCTATGGCCTTGACGTCTATGCCTTTTACATTTTAGGAGGTCAGAAATGCTGAATGAGGGTAGGTTTCAAGTCCACAACTTACTGCCACCTCTGCCTTTCCTCATCTCCCCAAATAGCTAAACATTCTTTTTAAATGGCTTCAATGCTCTGAACTAGGTGCTCCCAGGTGGCTGCTATAACTCATTTCAAACCTGGCGAACAGGCAGGAATAAGCCTCTTTATTGTTAGTTTTATCTTCCCTTCAGTGCTTGGGAATACAGAATGATCTCTACAAGTTTATGCTTTATTAACTTCATGAGCCACCAGAAAACTTCCTCCAGTATCATCAGGATAATTCAACACGGGTACCTTCAACGTCCTAATATGATTCTCAGCCTCACTCTTTTCTTTCTTAAAGTGCTTCATCAGATCCTGGATATTCTGCTCGTGTTTAGTCTTCACACTCTGCAACGATGAGGACAGATCTTCCAGCTCCCTCTGGTGAACGTCTCGCTCGAGCTTTAACTGCTTGATAATTGTAGACGTTTCATCCTCCCTGGATTTCTCACGTGCCTTGAGGTCTGAGAGGTCCTTGAGCACCTCTTTCTTGGCTCTCTCTTCCTCAGCCAATTTGTTAGCCAGATCTGCTCGGATGGCACTCAAGTCCTTGACAGACTCCTGCATCTCCAGAAGTTTAGCTTTATCCTCAGCCTGACTCTTCTTCAGCTGTGCAATTTCTTCCTCCAGGTGAGTTTTTCCAGCTTGCAACTGGCTTTGAATCTTACTCTGCTTTTTCAATTCACTTTCCAGCCTGTGTATGGTGTCCAGGGACTCTTTGACCTCCTGTTCAAGGTCCGCTTCATGAGACTTTGCATCACTCAGTTTCTTTTCTTTACAATGAAGCTCCTCCTCCTGCAGGGCACGCTTGGTTAGGACATCGCTCAGTTCCTTTCGGAGATTCTCTATTTGCTGTAGTGCTGCATAAAGCTGGCTTTTCAAGTCATCCCTTTCTTTCAGAATCTATGAGAGTAAGAACAAAAAGGAAAAAAAGAAAATTACTATAAAAAATACTACAGGCTCTGCTAGGTAAGAAAAAAAGCTCAATCAATAAGAAAAGAAAAATTTATCAAATCATACTTCATATTTTTAATATTCTTAAAAAATTTTTCTTAGGTTTTCAAATGAGGAAAAATATACAATTACCCTGAAACTAATATACAATTAACCTGAAACTAAAAGGCCCATAACAGCACAGTGATACATGTGTTTTGGATTTTTTTCAATGCCAACATTTTTTTTATATCAACCCATGATATTAAATAATTATTTAAATACTAGATAAAATTGAGCAAAAGAATGGGCCAAAACAATGACTCCTATTATGATGGGAGCTCTGGTAGCATAGTGCCTAAGGCACTTGACTGCTAACCAGAAGGCTGGCAATTCAAATCCACTAGCCACTCCTCAGAAGCCAGGTTGGACAATCTACTTCCATAGTGATACAGCCTCAGAAACCCAGGGAGGGGTTGCTATGAGTCAGATCTGACTTGAAGGCAGAGAGTTTGGTTTTGGTATAATGGTAATTTACCAGAAGTTGAAATAATTCAGTGTTACTGAAAATAAAAATAATTTGCATTTTAATGACACACTTTTAAAAAGAAGAAACCTCAAAACAGATCAAAATAATAATAATAAGATAGAGAAGCATGTACATAACAGTCCAAGAAAAGTTACAGTGCAATTGGTTATTATCAATAAAATAATGCTAGTAGTAACGATAAGATACACACCAATACACAACTGGGAGTCTTGAAGCCCAGAAAGGCAGAAATGAGATTAATATAAAATTAGAAGAGGTTGGGAAGGAACTCAAGGAAAAATTAAGGCAGTAAACCTCCATCACCCTATGAGGGGATGAGGGTTTACACTAAGGGACAGAGTTCAAGAACTAACCCTCTAATCTTCACCATCCAATCAATGCAAATGAAGCCAAGCAGCAAGGGGAGAGAAAACTGCTTTCTCAACAACCCCAGTACCAGGGTCAATCTTACAGATGCCCATCATGGCTTGACCCAAGGAGAAAAACAAGATTCTCATTTCAGAATTAGAAATAAAAACTGCAAATAACTGTGAGCCTTAGGATTCAAAATATTCTTTAGTATAAAATAATTTATAATGAAACACAATGAGTCATTCTCTCAAAATGAATAAATATATAAAGTGTTTATTCAGATCAATCAGTTCTGTTAGGGTAAAAGAGCATGAAATGATAAAATGAAGTGATTTCACTGTTGGCTCTGAAGACAGAACATAATTAGATTCTCTATTCAGCCAGCCAATTAGTATTTCTACGGTCTTAAGGAAATTATCTTTGCTGTGCCTCAGTTTCTTCATCTGTAAAATAAAGACAATAATATTATCTATTTCATAGGGTTGTGATAAAGATTATTGAGATTGGGGAGGTAAAAAAACAGGAATGAAATTTAAATTCAAGGTGGAACCAGGTCTCTGGGATGAATTAATGCAAAACAGTGATTAAAACTATGAGAAGAGATGATAACTGGGTAATGCAAGTCCCTGGAGTGGGATGACCAAACACTGATGAAGGAGTTAACTGTGGAAAGAAGTAAGGCTATTTTTATACCTAAATGAGGAAGAAAGTCAGGAAAACTAATAGAAGTACAGATAAGCCCCAGGGTCGATGTATTCTTTTTCTACTGTTCTGTATTACCACAAACTTCGTGGCTTTAAACAACATCATTTATTATCTCACAGGTCAAAAGTATAGGCAAGGTAATCAACTTAGGGTCTTGTAAGACTTCAATCCAGGTGCTCCCTCGCCTGAGCGCTTATTTGGGGCCTCCAGCGGAGAATCCACTCCAAGTTCATTCAGGTTTGGCAGAGTTCACTTCCAGGCACTTGAAGAACTGTCATCCCCATTCCCTCGCTGGCTGTTGGCCAGAGGTTATTCTCAGCTTCCAGAGGCCAGCTCCGGCTCATGGACCCTCCATCTTTAAAGTCAGCAATTCTTCAAATTTCTCTGACTTACCCACCTCTCACCAGCCAGAAAAAAACTTCTCTATTTTTGGGAACTCATGTGATTAGATTAGGTCTTGCTGGATAATCTATCTTCAGGTCAACTGTGCCATAAAAAAATATAATCATGAGAATGACACATCATCACGTGCAGAGGTTCCGGGAATTAAGGCAAGACATCTATGGGGGCCATTCTGCCTGCCCCGATAAAGAAGGAAACTGACAGAACTAAAGTTTCATGGGTCCTCAGTTGTGAAGATCATGTGGAAGGGGTGTCAGAGTGAGAGCTGGTGGCTCAAACAGAGTGATTCATGTTTGGAACAGAAAGCATGGCTCCCCCACCATGAGTTGAGGAACTGCCAGACAGCCCTGAAGATAAACAATCGTATTTTCATTTTGACAACGATGGAGCATTTTGACATGCTCTATCAGGTGAATGCCCGTAACTACAAAAAGGTTACAATGTCTTCCGGAAACTGGCTTACACAGCAAGGATATTTCTTTTTCTCACAAAACATAATGTCCTAAGGTGTCATGGTTCAAGAGTCTTCGAAGCTTAGGCTCTTGCTTCTCCGCACTTCTCTAGGCTTTGCACTCCTCCTCTCAGTGTCCCAGGTGTCACATCAATTCATGACAAAAGTAGAGCCTTCGGGGTGGCCAGTCACAGACTCTGTTGGTCAAGTTTGGAATTTCTTTGGCAATATAGTTTCTGGAAAGTTCTATTTGCTTTTGATTTGTTGCCTGGCTAGTAGCCACAGACCAAGATTTTGTCTAGACATTGACTCTGAGTCTGACAATGTTAGTGTCTAACTACCACCTAGCAACCTGGTAATTACCAGAGACCTTGGCACAGTGATTAAGGCTAGGCTGCTAACCAAAAGGTCAACAGTTCAAACCCACCAACTGCTCCGTGGGAAAAAGATGTGGCAGTGTACTTCCATAGACTACAATCATGGAAACACTGTAGGAGAGTTCTACTCTGTCTACAGGGTCACTATGAGTCAGAATTGACCAAGTGGCATTGTGTTTGGTATTTTGGGTCCCCCCACCCGCTCCCCACAGTTAAATAGCTTCTGTCTTGAGTTGATTCAAAACAATGGAATTTGGTTCTCTGTATCTGACCAAAAGTATGTAACGAGAACTAGAAAAGGGCCTGACAAATCTTGCCTCTATTTGATCTAATTTTTATTTCCCTAAGTGTCCCACCTACCTGTCCTGCTGAGACTAACTTCAGTTCAAGATAAATAATTTGGCTTTTCCAAGCAGAAAATACTCCAAATTATCAGACAACAACTCAGTCAAGTAGGATTGCAGATTGAAGACCTCAGGCTCCCCCACATAAAATAATTCCTCCTCTCTTCTTTCAGACAGAGCAGCTTAGATGTTTCTCTTGTAGGATCTTTCTGAAGGCTACAATAAAAGTTGATCAACATACTCCAATCCTAAAGTTTGTCTACCCACTACTTAATGCTATACTCTGAGGTTTAACCAACTGCTTCCAAGTCCACAGTAAAGTTTAACAGCTATCTCATTTGAACAGCACGATCCTCCCTACCCCTATGCCCACTCGACCACCACTTCTCCACTAAGTCAATCCTACATTTTAGGGTTTTGTGTTTATAGCTCCTCAAGCCTAAAATACAAATTTCCTATCAGTTTGAATGTCTTGAAGTTGCAAGTAGGAGAAAATCTGAATGCAGATGGGCTTCAACCAGAAGGACATTTATTTTCACTCCAGGCGGAACTACTCCAGACACAGCACGCCGAGGCCCTAGCTCCGCTTCTCTGCAATTCTCTCAGCAACAGCTCCTCTGTGGGTGGCTTCCGGCTCAAGAGGGTAGTAGCAAGGCAGCTTCGGCCACTCCAACCATAAAAAAACCACCAACAATCATATCCAGAGGAAACAGGAAATCTCTCTTCTTACATATCATATTTAGAACATTTACCAGAAGCTCCCCAACAGACTTCATATTCATACTTCATTCCTTGTTGATCAGGACGGGGTCATGTGCTAAGGGATGATTGGTTTATATTAATTATTGATTAAGGAATGGGAGGGGACAATCACAATCCCTACAACAGTTAGTTGATAAGGCTGTAAAGGCAAACTTTGGAGATACTGCAGGATTGGGTCCAGACCACTTCAATGAAGCAAGTATCACAATAAAACAAGTCTCACGAATTTTTTGGTTTCCCAGTGCATAAAAAAGTTATGTTTACACTCTACTGTATGTAGTGTATAAAGTGTGCAATAGCATTATGAAAAAGTTTAAAATATTGGGAAAGTTACCAAAATGTGACACATAGACATGAAGTGAGCACATGCTGTTGAAAAAATGGAACCCACAGACTTACTCATCACAGGGTTGCCACAAACCCTCAATCTGTGAAAACACAGCATCCGCGAAGTACAATAAAACTAAGTGCTTTATTTAGTGGTATGCCTGTACAAGAATTCCTGGTACCATTCAGTAGTAGGAATAGAAAAAGTAGAGAGTTAGGTTGATTCAATAAAATGTGTGAGGAAGAAATTAAAGATACTGTTAAACATATCCTCAAAAAAGCTTTTTATGAAGTCCAGTCTGGATTGGAAAAAGAACTAAATCCAGGAAATGGTTGATCAACCAGAGGAATGCAGAAAAATCAAAATCAGGTGTTAATGGTTAAAAAAAGAAAAGGAAATAAAAGAACTGTGAGAAATCAGAAACTGACATTTTGGAACTGAAGATCTGAACATAGAACAATTACAGATGACAACATAACCTAACCACAGAAATTAGTTGCTGAAATAGAGTGATCTGAAGGTCATTGTGAAATAGGAAATTACTGAAGTATAAGGATATGGAGGCCGAGAGTTTGCTGCCTTGACTAACGAAGTAAACCAGGATGACGGCAAGAATCAGATGGAATGAAACATGTCAAGGGGAAGTCAGGTGCCAAAAGCATGGAAAAATGTGGAGGCAAAGTGGAAAAATAAGCAACAG